CCGACTGCCATTCTTTGGCTTCTGGTATCACTATATTTGGGTAAATGACTCCTCATTTGAATGTCTTTTGCATTAAATTCTTCGATAATTACTCGGTTTTGTTGTCACGAATAGTGAGAAACATAAGCATAATGTATAGAAAATTAGGAAAAACTTTAATAGCAATTAGAGTTAGACATCGAATACCTACAGAGCGTTCACTCATTGTTCCTAAACTTGAATCCCACATAAAATGAGCCAAATATTGAACGCAATCATTGTTTTGATGGTTGAGTTCATTATCACAGAAACAAAGCGATTCACAAATTTGCTAATTCATGGCATTAAGCATATCGTTGACTCCAATACACGGATTATATCGTAACAGGAGTTTTCAATTACATAATTCATTCACAGATCCAAAGGGACGGCTACCTGGCCTTCAATAAGGGTTTACTGTCGTACAAGTTTCCCGTGAAGTTCCCATTCGTACCCAAGGATAACTTCATGGAGGACCCCTCGATGATCGCCCCCTGGTTTGCACAGCAGGACATACCTACGGAAGTGCCGCACGCGGGCGTCTACTTAAGGATAGTAAACCTCGAGTCGGAATACAACATAACATTAAGGGATCGCATATACTATGACTTCCGGGAGGGTATGATCGGTGCCTCCGATTTCAAGCCCAAGTTTGCGCTGATAATCACGTGGCGGAACATGACCATGGTCAATAGGCAACCTGACATGCCACTTCTGGTACGTATTGAGTAGTACCCGGGCTCATTACGAGTTCGTGGAACTGTAGACAAGTTTTCTAACTTTGTATAATTCTAGACAAACACATACCAGTGCGTGTTGGCCACGGATGAGATCCGGACGTACGCTATGTTTAATTACGAACAAATCCAGTGGATTACCCATCAGGACAAGTATAAGGGTCTCAAGGGATCGGCAGCTTATGTAAGTCCCGGTGTTTAGAAGTTTACCCATAAATCCTAATAAAGGGTTATATAATAAATGCATTTATAATTATAGGTGGGTTTCAACGCTGGTAACACTACCCGTACCTTCGAGTTCAGGCCGTACTCGCAAAACCCTCGCATATCATACCTGACCACCCGGGGTTGGGGTAACGGCCTAAGAGGGCGTTATTTTTTCCAGATCGACGAGGAGGTGTGGCCGGGCGCCTGTATCGAGAAGGACTTGGACCCTAACTTACCCGATCGACTACCCCTTACATTTTTCCCGCGTGTAGGCGCTATGT